AGGGTGTCAGTTTGAGGACTAAGGCACTCCTGCCTCAAGCCATGGTATTTCAATCTCCTCATATGCATGTGAAAGCTGGACAATGAATAAAGAAGACTGGAGAAGGTTATCCATGCATTTGAATTATGGTTTTGGGGAAATAAAAATGTACCATGGACAACCAGAAGAACAAATCAATCTATGTTGGAAGAAGCATAGCCAGAATGCTCCTTAGTAGCCGGATAGTGAGAATTTTCTCTCTCAGACCTCAGACATAACACCAGGAGGGACAAGTCCCTGGAGAAGGACATTATTCTTGGTAAAGTGGTGGGTCAATGAAAAAGAGGGAGACCCACAAGGAGATAGAGTGACATGGGAACATCAGCAGTGTTTCTTTCTGTTGTGCATAGGATTGCTATGAGTCAGAACCAACTTGAAGGTACCTAACAACAGCAACATGTTCGATGCAGCCCTGTTCACAATTGCAAAAAGATGGAAGCATCCTAAGTGCCCATCAATGAATGAATGGATAGAATATACACACAGGAGAACACTATACAATGTTAAAACAATAATGATGAAACTATGAAACACCTAATTATATGAATGAACCTGGGGGCATTATGCTGAGTAAAATCTATGAATAACAAAAGGAGAAATATTGTATGAAAGTACTATTATAAAAAGTCAAGAAAAGGTTTATACTCAGTATCATTCTGTGATGGTTACTAGAGGTGGAAGAAAAAGGGAGGGGAAATCACTAACTAGATAATTCTTGTTGTTAACTGCTCTCAAGTCATTTTTGGCTCATTGTGACCCAGTGTCGGTTTCCAAGGAGTGGCTATCAGGTTTGAACCATCAGTCTTGCACTTAGCAGTCCTGTGCTTATCCTATAGCACCACATGTATTAACCTGGGTGAAAGAAAAGTCAATGTACAATAAGGAGGAGGTCAGACAAAATGATCGAGGCGAAGGAAGGCACAAGAGTTAGAGGCACCAAAGAGAAATAATATTGCATACCAGACAACAGCTTTCAGTGTGGATCGCACCTCAGTATAAAGAAAACAATAATCCCCACAACTGAACCAATAAATAATATCATGAGAAATGGAGAAAAGGTTGAAATTGTCCAAGACTTCATTCTGCTTCGGTCCACAGTCAACACCCAGGGAAGCAGGAACAGAGAATCAAAGGACTTATTTATTACATTAGGCAAAGCTGATACAAAAGACCTCTGTAAAGTGTTCAAGAGCAAAGAGATCAGTTTGAGGACTAAGGTGCACCTGAGCTGAGCCATGGTCATTTCAGTTGCTTCATATGCAAAGGTGGACAATGAAAAAGGAAAACTGTAGAAGAATCGATGCATTGGAACTACGGTATTGGAGAAAACTATTAAAATTATGTCTTATACTTCAGACATGTTA